ATTGATTAATGTAGAGTTGAGAATTATTTAGTCCAATATTTTGTATTAGATGGTGCTCATTAAGCCACATGTTTAAGCTGATTGGGGGAAAAAACTTTCTATAAGCCTTTTCTCCTGAAACTGATTTTCCAGGTACTGATGTGAAAGACGCTCAGGTTATAAGTGTTTCTACAGGAACAAAATGTATTAATGGAGAATATATGAGTGACCGTGGTCTTGCTTTGAATGATTGCCATGCAGAAATTATAGCTCGGAGATGCCTACTTAAATTTCTTTATACACAACTTGAACTACATTTAAGGTAAGTTCAGAAGACTTTCACACTGCAGAGGCAAGTTCCATCAGTCACATTGTGGATAGGATCACAGACTATTGTGTTCATGCAAATTTCTGTTATGACATTTCACCTTATAAGATGTAATGCTGGAAAAATGGTTTGATCTGACCCTTTCAGATGATAACAGTTGAATTAACGCTTCTTTCCATCTCTGAGATAACACATCTAGGAATTCATTTTGCTTTACCGTCAGCTTTAATGGAGCAACATTCTATAGATCTTTAGGAGACTGCTCTTAGACAGGTGAGGGGGTCTTCAGTCTTTCAGTAATCTCAGTCTTTAACCAGTGATTCATGTTTTGGCTGTATCCCATCTTAAATATTGCAGTACTATTTATGGAAGGTTACACTTTAAAATTTCTGGGAATTGTAGTTGGTGCAAAATGCAGCACTTTGGCTGCTAACCAGCATAAGCTACGAGTATAATGTCTTACTGAATGTAAGGTTGCCAGTTGCTTATATTTATTAAAAATTAAAATTGATGCATGTGCTGCCATTACCGCTTCTCACAATTGTTTGATAGGATTTTAGTATAGTATTATTTTTCACCCTAAGGCTGGCAAATAGTTTTAATTTTGAGGTCCTCTGAGAGGGTCTTGGGGGAATGAGAATGGTGATTGGTGAGCATCCACTTAGAATAGGGTCTCTTTATTTTGAATACATGGTTAAGTGTTTGTTTGGTGTATGGAAATGTTAAAGGAAGAAATCTGAATCATCTAAAAGAGTGTTTGATGTTATTATGATGAAAGATTTCGATATTTAGTGAAGGATACAAGGATGATGAGAAGTTCTGAATGTGGGACCCACTATATGTTGGTACTATCAAGAAAAAGGTAATGGAAGAAAAAAGAAAGAAAAGTGAAAGTAGAACGTCTGCAGGAAAAGAAAGTGCAAGTTCTGTATGAAAAACATTAGAAGATACAGTATGAGGCAGTTACTCAGGTTTACAATATTAGCTGGATATGTGTTCACTTTCTGTTTATGAGATGGCAGCTTATCAATGTAGTATAAAGACTGATGAATATTACTTTGTATAGTCAGGGTGTAATGATTTATTTTAAAAGTAGGCTGATTTATTTCTGGCCGGTAACATCATATGTTTTGTTTCCTTGTTTCCTGTCTATTATTGTATTTGTTTTCTATCTCTTTTTATTATCTATCTATCTATCTATCTATCTATCTATCTATCTATCTATCTATCTATCTA